AAGCTAGACATAGAAAACAACGAAGCAGGTCTGTCCACAGGAGATGATAACAATGATTAGAAGAGGAGGGGTGCTGTGGGAAGAAATAGTTCATCCTGATCCTGGCAAAGGAGAGGAGATCTTCAAAAGACAAGTGCCTTACGTTTAGTTTAATTCTCTTTGGCTTTTCTTCTTTTCCTCTTCAGAACAGTTGTTGTCTGAGTTATTTCTCCTGAGATGGTGTGAACAGAGGGGCACAGCAGTGGTGAAACTTTTATTAACTCTGGCACAGGCCTGACCGCAGAGCAGAAAACTCTTTCAAAGCTAGGAAGCAGGGCTTCCCTGGTGGCTCAATGGTTGAGAGTCCGCCTGCCGATGCAGGGGACACGGGTTTGTGCCCCGGTCCGGGAAGATCCCACGTGCCGCGGAGCGGCTGGGCCCGTGAGCCATGGCCGCTGAGCCTGTGCGTCCGGAGCCTGTCCTCCGCAACGGGAGAGGCCACAACAGTGAGAGGCCCGCGTACCACAAAAAAAAAAAAAAAAAAAAAAGCTAGGAAGCAGCCAATGGTTGACAAAAAAGAGATATGAGAACTGGGAGGGGAGAGGAGGTGGGTAGTGGGTATGGACAGGCTGCAGAGAAGCAAAGTGAAGTCATCGCAAAGTGGCATCTCTCAGAGCTATGCAGACAGAACCAGGGACCTTGTCCCTTGCCGCAAGTTGTGTTTGTTCTCCTGTGACAAGCTGATGGGGTAACCTATTGCAAAATCTTTTGTAGTCTCTTCCACTCCAAAACAGAATATAGACATTGACATTGTGCTCTCAAGTTCAAAGCAGTAAAAGGTTGTATGTGAAATGAACTGGATGCTTCACAGGCTGATGACCCAAGGTTGGACAGTATAAAAGAAAAGGCTGGAGTAAATGGCGCTTTGGGAAAGTTGGTTGTTTTGGGAACAGGTCCTGTTTGGGGGAACACTTTGGCAATATCATTTGAATAAAACGTATTCATATTTAACACCCACAAAAGTCTCCATAGATGTGTGTACAAAGTTTAAAACATGCATAGAAGTTGCCTAAAGTTCTGGTATTTTTTCCTGTATTATAGTCTTTGTGGTTAAACAAGCAAACAAACAAAAAACCTGCTTAAAAAATGATTAATCTCATAAAGCATTCTAAAAATATTTACAAAATTAAGACGACTATTGCTAATTCTCCTACCATCTTGAATATCTTTCTTTTCTCATATGTTAACAGGACATGGTGGAGGTTTCCGTCTGGCTTGGGGACATTTGGTGCTTCTCTCTTCTTACAAGATCCTGTCTTGATTCTTTGAAAGGCAGAAGATAACTCATTTAGCTTGGTATTGCTTCCCAAGTATCTATATTTACTCTTTTATATCTCTATGAAAATTCCCCTTTCTCTTATTCTTTTTATGCATGTAAGGGCCACTTTCTTCTGTGGGAAAGAGTAACTCCATGTATAGCCCCAAACCAGTTACTGTAAATCTGAAACCCAACACTTGTATCATTTTTACTGAGACTGTCAACCTCTTACCATCCTCACAGTGGCCCATTCCAGTTAATGTTTTATCTCCATGGAAACTCAAAGGCATATAAACTAGGCTCTGACTTTATTTTAAGGCCTTAGGCTAATTGGTTGATTTTCCTAAGATATCGTGTAACAAGAATTCCACTCCTTCTACCTCTTCCAGTCCCCCTCAGAATGACTGAGAGAGAATTGGAAGCTCAATGCTTGATCACATTTTGATCAGGTGTAATTTAAATCTTTGAGTCTGGATACGCATAGGGAAGCAGGAACAGCGGAGTTTACTATAAGGCTTGGGGAGTGCTGAATTATTCTCCATAAAAATATGAGAGGAAGTTAATCTTTGTGTTCACATCAAGAAGAATACTGAGAAGCTGGGGTGGGTGAGGCTAGGGACATGGAGACGAGACAAATGACTTTTAGAATAGAAATGTCTAATATTCAGTTCTAGATTTTTGGTGAAGAGGCAAAGTAAATCTTTTCCTTTAACATCTCTTCACGAAAGTCTACTACCCACTCAGAAGCTCTTTTAATATAGAAATCAAGGAAAGAAACTAAAACTGGGCTCAGCCTTTGGGTTAGCATGGAACAGGAAGCTCCGATTCATCAGGGCCAGGAGGCTGGAGTATCCCTGACAGTGTAAGTCCCGGAAGAAGTTACAGGAATCTTAAAAAAGGCAATGCGTTTTCTCTGAATTGTGTTACAGGAATTGGGGCCAGTTTTACCAAGATCTTAACGAGGCAGCATGACCCCAGAGGGCAGCTGATATGAATCTATAGCCCTGGGTAGGTCTGAAGGCTGGCTCAGCTACATGTTAGCTAGTTAATATAAAGAAGGTAAAACCTGGTTTCTTCATTGGTAAAATTGGAATCATATTTTTATAATTCAGGGTCATCAATTGATGCTTAAAACAGATGAAACATTGTTGAAGAAAGTGATATTCTCAAAGTAGCACTGCCCTCCCCCCCATATTACATTTGAATTGTAAGGAGAAATGTATCTTTACAATTGAGAAATTACAAGTGATCTTACAATTGACACATATCCAAGAGATCAAACTTAATATGGCCAAAGAGTGTGATAATGATACAGAGATTTTGTGGAAGAGCATCCTTGTTTTTTGAGAGATGCATGCTGAAGTATTTAGAGGTGAAGTGTTATGTACAACTTACTTTAAAATGTGCCATATATATGCACACAGGTAATATGTATATGTGTACATGTGTTTCTCTCTCTTTCTCTCATAAATATATGTCTCTCTACATATATATTATATAAAACATATATATGTCCTATATATATACATATATATCTTTCTCTCTCTCTCTATTTATATATATATATATATATATATATAGTGCAGATATGGCATGCAAATCAGGCAAAATGTTAGCAATCAATGAATATAAGTGAAGATTATATGTGTTTATTGGACTGTTCTTTCAAAAATTTCAAAATAAAATGTTAACCGTGTAAATAACTAAAGTAAAATACCTAGCATCACATCAGGTGCCGTGTCTGTGCTCGTTTTGTGTTCGTTACCTTTTCCCTCCTTTTTCCTCTGCTACATTTCTTCACTTTCCCCAGCTGTGATAAACCCTCATTATGGTTGTCTAAATATACCTTGGGTCTAGTTTCATTGCCCTAAAATAAAAAGTAGCTTCTGAAAAAGCATAAAGCACAAAAAAGGTAGAGTGCTGTAAAAATGCCCCGAGTGGCACTAATTGACCGCTCTGCAAGGTTGTTCTGTTCTCCAAAAGGGGCATCCCATGGTGTTGCATGTTAAATACTTTGCAAAATTAAGAGGAAGAAATCAGTAGTTTAGAAAAAAAAGATACCCAGAATATAAACATTTCTCAATAAATACCGAAATAGAGCAAATATTTTATTTCAGAGTGCTGATTTAGCGATGCAAAACCAAGATTATCTTTTCTTGGAGCTTTTCTCCGCAAAGTAATAGGTGTTAATGCCTGTGGAAATGACGAACATTTATTTGGAAGTTGCCTCAGGGGTCTGAATTATGTGCACAGTTAATTATATACTATGCCAAAATTAGATACTATGGCAGAAATATATATTTCTGCTAAATCTACTGGCCAGCTTAACTCGTGGCCAGTGTGTGTCTTGATTTTTAGGATAAAAGCTCAAGAGTTCTGGGATAGCTTTTCTTTGCTGTGCCTACTTCATACTCTTAAAGCTGGAATGGATATAGGAAAGAGGCAGAAGGAATATGCCGGGTGGGGCATGATTCCCAAATCGTGACCGTTTGGGCCATGATTCTCTTGACTTCACTTCTTCTCTTGGTCACTTTGTAAAATGAGTCATTTTCATAATTCTGCCCTTAATCCTCAAAGCTCCCCTGGTAGAGGGAAGAGAGTGGCAAATTATTTATCATCCCAGCTTGCAAAGCGAGAAAACAGAAGGAATCATGGGGAAATTATTTTCTGAAACTATGCAATGAAAACTCAGTCTATCCTTCTAGCTTTCTTTTACTCCATGTATATGAAGCACTGTGTGAAATATAGAGAGATGTGAGGAGGAAAAGAGTTTTGGACATAGTTTCTGCTAACTAAATAATAATAACAGGAACAGCAACAATATAAGATTGTGTGAAATTGCTATGCAAACTGCAAAATTCTAGCCATACACAAGCTGTTATTATTTTTTTCATCAAAGTTACCATCATCGTCTTCATCCTCCTCTGTGTTTACAATGGTGGAATTCTCAGGAATTGAGGAAGAAAGAAGAAAAATTATTTACTGTTTGGGAAAGCTATAAGTTTTGAGTGAAAGCCATCATACTGAAGATTTTTCAAGACGTGGTTGGGCAAAGAGTAGGACAGTTGTGTTCAAAGGGAAGATGTCACATGTGTGATGAGGAATGAGAGGGAGGATAAAAAACTCTCTGCTGGCAGCAGAATGGGAAAGTAATAGAAAACATGGCAGTCAGGGTTGGAATAAAATGTGAGAGGATGGGAGGTCCAGCAGTTGGAAGGCAATGAAGCCCCTAGTCTTATAGGATTCTAAGAAAAGGCAATATTGTGATAAAATGATGCTTGGGAAGATGAAGTCTTTTCAAATGTTTTGAATAGACTGTGGACAATTGAAACCAGAAGAGGAAGGAGGTTTTTAAAATAGAGCAGATTCAAGGAAATAAAGATCTTGCTTTGATCTGCGATGTTAAGATCGAGACAATGGATGTTTTGAGAGCACACCTGGGACAAATGCTCAAGAAGTAAGGCTTTTGCTAGACCTTAGGTGTGTGGGAACAAAAGAAGGCTAAAAGGGATCTAAAGGCAGAAACGATTCCCCCTGGGAGCCTGAAAAGAAAGACAGACCTATGTGAGACTCAAGTGTGTTAGATGAGACTGGAAAGCAGATTGGCATTAAAATCCGGTGCATTTGAGATCTTGTCTCTCGCAGCCATCATCGGAAATCTGCTGATCACTGTCTTCTGCTCTCTCATTCTCTTTCTCTCCAGAGTTGCTGTGAAAGAACCTTCTCTCCACCTCAGAGCTGCAGGGCTCCAAGCGTCCCGTTGCCGTCTCCCATTACCCGGACAGTCAGTGCCAGGGCAGTGATTGTCAGTTTGCTGAGGCGTGCATTTTAGGTATTGCTGTTGTTTTTTCTTCTTGTTTTGTTTCAGAGAATTTCAAATAGCAAGTGATTTTAAAAATGCCTCATTGATGTAATCTCTGTATTGCTGGCCCTTGTATTCTCCTTGCAAAGAAAGCATGGAGTCCCCTGCAATGTTCTCCTTCAATTCAAACATGCTGCATGGCACAACCTTAGGTATGGGCACACAGAGAAGATGCAGTGGGTGCTGTGATGACCTGGAACTGTGTCCCCGTATGGGCCTCCTATTCTCCACACAAAGTCCCATAGTTTTCTCTCCCTGCTGCTCAGTATTGTGGGAAGAAAGAAATTCTAGAACCCTGTTTTTTAATTTATCTTTTTGTTATATTATGCTAGCATGGTACTCAAACAGGACTATTTATACCATCATATCATTTATTCATTATGAAAATGATCCTAAGTGTTTTACCTAAGTCCATAGGGGCCTACACTGGGGGACATACAGTACCCACTGAACTTACATAGAATCTTTGGAAATAAAAATATGCTAAGTTTATATAACAGTGTTTATATAGCTCCTACTGTGTGCCATGTACTTTATTTAATTCTTATAACAACCTTATAAGGCAGATATGATTATTATCCTCCTCCTTATTGTTTTCAGATGTGGAAACTGAGGTACAGAGAAATAAAATAACTTGCCCTAGGTTATATAGCTGATACTGGGGAAGGTGGGGTTCAATTCCAAGCACTCAGGTTCCAGATTTGGGGGTTGTACTCTCTCTCTGAATGAAAATGGAGATATGTCTACCTCCAGGTAATGCTATTTATGAACAGATTAAATCCTGCAATTTGTAAACTTGGAAAGAAGCTTCATATGTTGAAAGACAGCAAGGCTTCCATCCTACCTCCGTCTTCCCCTCATGTTAGCCCGCTTTCACATTTTCTTCAGCCATAGGGGTGGGGGAATTGAGGCATTATGGATCTTTCTGCAAATTCCAAGGCCATGGTTAAGGCCAGGGCCTTGCCCCATAATCCTTAACCTCCCCATCTCAAATATGGATGCCCTGGGATACTCCTTGTAGATGCAAAGAGAAACTCAAGATATAAGGAGAGTGTACATCAACTATATCTCAATTTAAAACATGTAAAAAAAAAAAGATATAAGAAGAGTGGATGAAGGGTCATCATCCTGTATGGTCCCTCTGTCATGTCATCTTTGTTTCCCTTTGCTATCATATGATCAGTCTTCAAATTCCAAAGGCAGGGCTTCCCTGGTGGCACAGTGGTTGGGAGTCCGCCTGCCGATGCAGGGGACACGGGTTCGTGCCCCGGTCCGGGAGGGTCCCACATGCCGCAGAGTGGCTGGGCCCGTGAGCCATGGC